AGTACAAAAATATTACCAAATTCAAGAAAATGCTGAGGTTTCCAGAAGTATCAAAAAAAGGATTTTAGAAACTATTCCAAAATAGTCCAGTATAACAATGTTCAGTAGCCATGGAGTGTTGATTTATTATTGGGGAAGGGGAAATGAAACAGCATATCTTGGAAAAGAACGTGTTTGGAGTCAAACAATTGCAAATTGCAACTCATTGCAACTTCCCTCTATATACAAATGATAATTAAGCAATTTAATGCAGGCAACTTGTATATGTACTAGGCTTCTTTCAATTTTTCCTCTTCACCTAAGGAAGAATTGTGAACTCTAGGAACTGAAAAAATATATGGAAAACATAGCTTAAATATGGAAAATATAAAAATAAGCCCATTGTATAACATTATAAACAGCAGAATATACTTTAGACAACATCATCGCCTTTCTCTTTTTCATGAAGGGAAGGAAAGCTATCTAATGTGCAACAAATTCAAATGGAATATATTTTAAGAAGAATAAAAAAGTGGCACTGAAGATAAAAGAGAAGGCAAAGCCACACAGTAATAACTTTTATAAAATGGGATGTAACACTTCCATCTTAGTAGTAAATGTGTGGAAAAGGAGCTAGAAGAGGGGGAAAAACTAAATATTTAAAATATTAATTTTAAAACTAAACTACAGCAATAAATAAGCTAACATGTTAATATTCAATACTTACAATACAATCCTATTTTGCTTTTCTATGGAGTTTATTTTCAGGTATACAACACATTACACATTAGCATAACATAAACAACTTGTCAAAAAAAATCTAACATTCACTTTTTCAGAAGCATTAAAGGAACTAATAATGAGCAATTATTATTCAACATGTGCCACCTATTATCTATCCTCTTTCTTTGGAATAAACAGGTTAAAAAGCTGCTAATGGCTTTCTAAAAATGTATGTATCCAATGTTAGCACATAAGTAATAAAAAACACAAGGCATTGATATATGACATCATCTAACTGAATTCCAACAGATATTCAAAACAATTGCAGTAAATGTATGTGTGCATACAGAGAATCCTAGAATGAATTCAAAAGTAGAAACAATTAAATAGCACTGTTATATAATCACATATACAGGTAGTCGTTGACTTATGACTACAATTGAGCACAAATGTCAAAGCAACATTTGTAGTCATAAGTCAAGGACTACCTGTATATGTGATTATATAACAGTTCTTTCAATAAGTGAGACATTTTTAGAGTAAATTTTTCCCATTTTATGACTTTTCTTGCCACAGTTGTTAAGTGAATCACTGCAGTTGTTAAGTTAGTAACACAGTTAAATGAATCTGGGTTCCCCATTGACTTTGTGGGTCAAAAGGTTATAAAGGGAGATCACATGACCACGGGACACTCCAACCGTCATAAATATTAATCAGTTGCCAAGTGTCTGAATTTTTATGGGAGAAAGTGGCAAGAAGGGACAAGCAACAGGGAGAAAGCAGAACTGCTTAACTTATTTTTTTCATCCATCTTTATACAAAAGGAAAAAAACAGTCCAACCTATCAAAACCAATACAGTAAAAAACACATTAGGAATACAAGTTAAAATAGGTAAGAAAATAGTGAGTGAGCACCTGTCAACCATAGACTAGTTCAGCTCACCACCACCAGATGGATTAGACCCCAAGATTCTGAAGGAACTGGCAAACGTGATCTCAGAACCACTGAACTATATCTTTCAAAGATCCTGGAACACCAGGGAACTACTAGAAAACTGGAAAAGAGCTGAAGTAGTTCCCATCTTCAAAAAAGGGGAAAAAAATAGGTCCAGATTCTGGAAAAGGTAATCAAGCAACAAATCAGCAAACACCTAGAGGCAAATAAACTCATAACCAAAAGCCAACATGGGTTTGTCAAAAACAGATCATGCCAGAGAAATCTTATTGCATTCTTTGACCAGATGACAAAATTAGTGGACTAGAGGAATATGTGGATATAATTTACTTGGATTTCAGTAAAGTATTTGATGAAGTAGACCACAACCTACTATTTGATAAGATAGAAAAAAGTGTATTAGACAGCATCACTACCAGATGGATTCGTAACTGGCTGACCAACCACACTCAATGTGTAGTACTCAATGGAACTGCATCTACATGGAGAGAGGTATGCAGTGGAGTACCCTAAGGCTTGGTTTTAGACCCAGTAGTCCAGTGTTTCTCAACCTTGACAATTTTAAGGCATGTGGACTTCAACTCCCAGAATTCCACATGCCTTAAAATTGTCAAGCTTGAGAAACACTGCAGTAGTCTTCAACATCTTCAATGATTTGAATGAGGGAAAAGAATTTCACATTTGCAGATAATACAAAGCTAACAGAATAGCCAACATTGCAGAAGATAAACTTAAGATATAGAAGGATCTTGATTGGATGCTATCTAACAAAATAAAATTCAATGGTGAAAAAAGTAAGGTTCTACATTTAGGCAAGAAAAACTAAATTCAGTGAAGATGATTATGGAACTGGAGACTAAAACATATAAATAATGGTTTCTGGAATTGGGTATGTCTAGTTTAATGAAAAGAAGGACTAGGGGTGTTCCTATATCTCAGGAGTTCCAATATCTCAGGAGTTGCCACAAAGAGGAGGGAGTCACACTATTCTCCAATGCCTGAAGGCAGGACAAGAAGCAATGGATGGAAACTAATCAAGGAGAGACGCAATTTAGAAATTTCCTGACAGTTGGAACAATTAATCAGTGAAACATCCTGCCTCCAGAAGTTGTGAATGCTCCAACACTAGAAGTTTTTAAGAGATTGGACAACCATTTGCCTGAAATAGTATAGGATTTCTTGCCTGAGCAGGGAGTAGACTAGAAGACCTCCAAGATCCCTTCCAACTCTGTTATTCTGTTCTGTTATTCTGATCATGTGACTATGGAGATGCTGCAATGGGCGTTAAGAGTGAAAAACAGTCATAAGTCACTTTTTTCACTGCTGTTTTAACTTTGAATGGTCACTAAATGAACTGTTGTAAGCTGAGGATTACCTGTATAATTGAATAATTACCTGTATAATTGAATAATTTACTTTTGTTTCTTAGAAAAAAACCTATAAGCCTGAAGTAATTATATTTTTACTTTAAAAAAATTATTACACTTTTTTTTAATGATGACACTACTTACCGTCTTTCCTCGAAAATAAGACTTATTCTTATTTTTTTTTCCTCCAAAAGAGGCACCAGGTCTTATTTGGGGGGGGGGTGTCTTTTCCACTCACCTCAAGCACCAACAGCCCTGCCCAGTTGGCCCACTTCTTCTGCAGCCAAAGGAGCAGCTTCATTCTGCAGCTGAGAATGGAGCTCCGACCTTCATTTCATATAATGAATGAATCCTGTCACTGACAAAAACTGCTAAGAAGACAAAGGACTTTCCAGAAGGCCTGTGCAGCTGAGAACCAAGCTATGGATTCAATCCATAGCTCGATTCTCGGCTGCAGAGGCCTTGCAGAACCAGGCTATGGATTGACCTGGGGACACCACAGAAGAAGTGGGCCGGCAAGGAAAGGCCTGGCTGCAAGGTAAGCAGGTATAGGGTGTGTGGGGCAGTTTCACCCCCTCCATCCCCGCTCTAGCTTGATTTTTAGTTGTGTACCTTGCCCCAAAACTAAGGCTTATTTTCAGGGTAGGTCTTACTTTCAGGGAAACACGGTACCATGGGCATTAAATGAAAGCTTCAGTAAATACTTCAATTTATCTCATCTGTAAAGTTGAAACTTATGAAGTGTTTTTAAAGGATTAACAGACTTTAATCCTATGCAGACTTACCAGACACACTACTACAATCAATGGGACTTATTTTTGAACTATTAAGTATAGCATTTCACTTAAGCGTTGAAGTTCAAAAGTTTCTTTTAGTTCTAGTAATCTAGTAGGATTTTTTATGTTTAAAAGAAAGAATTTTGCCTTTTGGGAATACCTGTTGTATAAAAATTACTGCTAGAGTAGTTATGATGACAGAAGATCAGAAGTTTTTCATCTAATTTAGTGGTTAAAAGGTTAATGTAGTAAAGAACTTTCCTGAAATAAAACTAAGATGCAATTTAGCTTTATTAGGTCTAAGCTCTATAGGTAAATAACTAAAGAAGCTATTATAATTAAGCATGAGTTGCCTTCATTATTTTCAGAAAGAGACCATGAATAATTTCTGTAAGTAAAAATATTCATGTAGCAAATTAGATTAAGAAAAGAAATAGTTTGTTTGCTACTACAGGTATTTATATAGCTGTATTTATATATTTATAAACATTTGTTAGTTTGCCTTTATACTGCTATTATTATGATTAATATGCTAGTTTTTATATTACATTACAGCATTTCTGCTAAGATTGTAATATATTATACCACAAATGATTACATTAAAAAAAATAATAGCAACTTCAATGGCTTTCAAATTTGCTTACAAATTTAAAGATACAGTCATCAAATTATTACGCAATCAGGTATGCCAAAATAAAACTCTAAGTAATTAATAATAATTACTAACTATAATTCAGTGAAGATTTTCAAATATATCCATTAGCTGGTTTACAAATATAATGTAAAAACTATTAAACTATAGTATACAGAATCACAATTGACTGGGCTAACATACCATGTTAAATCACAACCAAGCAAACAAAATTAGCTTAATATAATAAATGAATCCTGTCACTGACAAAAACTGCTAAAAAGACAAAGCAAGTACGAATAGAATACCAAAACAGAAAGTCCATTTTTAAAAAATATCTAACTTTATAGTATGCAAATTCTGAACATTAAATCCATTTTTGAAACTAATCAAAAGTGAAACAATTAGAAGTTAGCCTGGTTTTCTCCATAATATGCTTAAAAAAAGGAAAAATACATATATGGTATATTCTTTCTTTAGATACATTTGTCTAAAAAAGCATATCCAAAATGCCAGTATGTCCCATTTACTACACCAATATTGACCATCAAATACTTTTAATAACCTACTTGAGTTTCAGCAACAGCTGTAGGTACAGAAGGTGTAGAAGACAAAGTTGCCACTTGCTGCACATGACCAGAAGACTGCTGAGGTAAATGTGAACTGGAAACAGGAGTGCTAGATCCTGAGCCAGAGACTACATTTGGAAAAGATACTGCTACTTCATTACTGCTATAAATGCCTGTTAAAAAATAAAGAGGAAAACACATATGAACTAAATTATTACAAAAGCTGGAGCTAAATTTTTTTATTTAAAATCAATAAAACAGTTATAACAGGCTTTATGGGGGGGAAAGATTGGTGACTATTCTAAACCAAAGCTTTGCCCGTCTATGAACTGTTTAGGAAAATATTCTACAAAAAGTTAATACACTGATGATGGGATTTCTTTAGAATTAAATGAATCTGGAGAAAGAATTTTTAAATGCAACAACAGAAAATGAAATAAAAAGGGAACACAAAATCTAATTACAAATTTGGTACATTTCTGATCCTGAAGTGCAGAGTTTATTGATTCAAACAAATCATGTCAATAGGCTGTAAAAGAGATTGTATATGGAAACCAATTTTCTATACCAGTGGATAAAACAGAACTGTGCAAAATGCAAATGGTGCAAGGAAACCAACAAAAAGCTCATTGTTTAAATAAAGAATAATTACAAGAAATTTAAGACTGCACACCTGATCATCAGGTTATAAACAGTTTTACATTGGTATACTCTTTTTCTTACAAACTGTTTCTCTGAACATTTATACAGTTCACAAACATATAATTATTTCATTTATTTCATTATGATGATTAAATCAACAAGCAGATATTTACTATTTCACTTCTATTAATGTATTCAGTCAATAATTCTGAACAAGTCAAAATGTACAATAATTACATCTATTTCTTTTCTTTGGATGATTCTATCCAAATTCTGATGGCTGTCTCCCGTAACTAATTTTTAATCAACATCCACATCTACCAATTATAATAGCAGTGGTCAATAAATAATATTATTAAATAATACTGAAAGATCTTATGTATCAGACCCAAAGATGCAAACAAATTCTCCATCTTACAGGAATAGGTATAGATAATGCTACATATAGATTCAATATACAACATTTAGAAGTGAAGGAATTCTCAAGTTAATAGTATATAGTTGAAATATTATTTTGCTGCAAAAGACCAAAGTTAATATAGTAGATGTTGCAATAATCTATAGTAGATGGTCAAATAATCAATTTGTATAGGAAGATATGAAGAAAGTGTGGGAAGTAGAGGACACATCAAACTTTCCAAAGAAATGTTTGATGGAATAGATTAGTAAACTTTTGACAGACATTTGTGAATAAAAGTGTGAAAATATGGATGGAACTATGAGGGCCAAAATTTACAATCGCCTCTTTGTTGAACACATCAAGGAAAGCTCAGTTGACTAGTTCTAGGCAACTATCCATTGGGAGAGGAAGTATAACTACAGACAGTTACATAGGACTAATTCTGTTGGCTATCTTGTGGGAACATCTCTGTCTGTTCATTTGACCCATATTGCATATCTAGCTCTTAAGCTTGAAAGAAAGAGCAATCAAAATAGTCTCTCCATATCAAGACTCACTGCAAAGATCTGTAACACATATTCCAAACAGTGATTAGGTGCAAAGCCAAGCTTTCCTTACTGTTATTTAAATAGCCAATGGAGAAAAAGGAAAAAATGTCCTGAAGATTTTCTAATAGCCTGCAATGATGCTTTTTGACCCAATTGTGTGGTGCTTTAGTTTCAATCTGAAGTAGGTTGATTATTAGTTAAGAATGTCATGGTTACAGAACTAACAGGAGACAAAACTTTGGTAACAATCCTTGATGGGAAAGTATTGGGTATCACATAAGACTTCCATCAAAACAATATCTATGATACCATTTACAATAAATTTCAGAACAACTAGGATATTCAGTCAAGATAAATGTTTGATATTTAAAAAAAAATTACACAAGTGAATTAATGGAAATTATGTAAATTCAGCAATCGATGCTTAAAACCAAGCACATCCATTTTTAATTGTCATCTTTCTTATTAAATGTATTAAAAAAGTTAAAAACGTGAAAAATAGTTGTTCTGACACTTCTGCCAAAAGTATTTTTCAAAATGTTGAAAAATGGCATTACTGAAATGGAGCTGCTTTACCTCCTAATGAATTAATGGGCAATAATTTTCCATTTTAATTAAAATTAATTTGTATACCCACATACACATACATTATGACTGCATATCTCTCTCTGTGGGTGTGTGTATGTGGATGTATTATAAAGTGAACATCTCTGAGTATTGCAGAGTATATATTCAGACTACATAAAAAAAGAATACATTTTTACTAGAAAAGATTGCAGAATCTTCCTAACAAATGAATATCTGAATTTAAATCATGAGTTAAATTAATTGGATATAAATTAGATTTACTGTGACAGGCTGTCAAATTTAACTTTCTGAATTTACTCTTGCTCCAAATTTAGGCATCCCTTTGTTTCTATCAATATATTGGTATAAATAAGACATCATATTTAATTTTGATTGCTAATTAAAATACTGCTACTTGCCCAAGTACAATCACTAAAGTTGATATGCTTGAATAAACAAAGTGTCTGGCTTAATGTACAGATTATGCTGGAACATAATTTCCTTAACAATTTATTGAGAAGGGGCGTTGTCTTACCTGAACGCCTTTTCTCAGCACGGAGATGGATAATCCACCAATGGGTTGAGACTGTATTCCTGCCCAATCAGATCAGTCAGCCAAAGTTGCCACGCCCGTCCTGGACCACGAGATCCCCAGTCTTGACACGAGCGAAGCCATTGACTGACAGCAAGACGTTTTGGCTCAAACTATTTACCCCTAACCATCATGGTCTACAAGGGTGGGTGTGGATTATCCATCTCCGTGCTGAGAAAAGGCATTCAGGTAAGACAACGCCCCTTCTCCAGCACTGGAGATGGGTAATCCACCAATGGGACATACCAAAGCCTATTGTCCCTCGGGATGGGGAATAGACTGGTCCTGTGAACTTTGGCTTAGCACCTGCTGAAGAACCCTCCTACCGAAGGAGGCCTTTGCAGAGGAGTATTTGTTGATTTTGTAGTGGCGAATAAATGGGAAAGGCGAAGCTCAAGTGGCTGCCTTGCAAACCTCCTCAATGGAAGCCTGCGTGGCCCATGCTGCCGAGGTGGCAGCACTCCTTGTGGAGTGAGCCGTGACATGTCTGGGGACCTGCAAGGCCTCCACCTTTCGGCCCCTAGAGGAGGAGTGAAAGGATATAAAGAGAGCCTCTGAACAGCGGAATTCCGCTGTCTGTGAAATGTAGTACCTTAGTGCCCTGCGGACGTCTAATGTATGCCATTGTCGTTCTAGGGCATGAGTTGTATTTGGACAAAAATCCAGTAGGACTATTTCTTGTGACCTGTGAAAAAGGGAGTTGACCTTTGGGATGAAGGAAGGGTCTAGTCGCAAGACTACCCTGTCCCTGTGAAAGCAACACAGGTCTTTTCTTGTTGAGAGTGAGGCTAATTCGGATATACGACGAGCCGACGTAATTGCTATCAAGAATGCTACCTTGTGGGTTAGGTAGCGGATGTCACGTTTTGAGTGGTTCGAACGGAGCTCTGGTGAGAGCTCGCAGTACCCACGGTAGCTCCCACGAGGGGTACCTGTGTACGGTAGGTGGCCTAATGTTCGCAGCCCTTTTGAGGAAGGAGCGGAGTAGGGGATGGTGGCCCAGGGGTTCACCCGCGTTGCCCGACAGTATTGTTGAGAGGGCGGCGATCTGCCTATGCAGTGTGTTTGCCGCTAGGCCTCTCGCCAGGCTGCCTAGTAAGAATTCCAGAAAGTTGGGAATTGTGAGCTCTCTGAGGGACAGGCTCCGTTCAGAGCACCATGCCTGAAAGCTTTTCCACGTGGTTTCGTAAATACGGTTCGTGGAAGGGCGTCTGGAGGCCTGGATAACCCTTATTACTCCCTGTGAACAAAGTCCCCTTTTTAAGATGGACCGTTCAAGTGCCAAACGGCTAGTTGTAGCCATTGTGGCTCTGGGTGGAAGATCATCCCCTGGCTGAGTGAGACTTTCTCTGGGGGAATTCGCCAGGGATTCGTGCGAGAGAGGCTTCTCAAGTCTGCGAACCAAGGTCTCCTGGGCCAATATGGGGCCACCAGGATTATCTCGGCTCGTTCCTGGAGAAGTTTGCGTATTACGGCCGGGAGGAGAGGCAGAGGGGGGAAAGCATATAGGAGGCCCCTCGGCCATGGACTCCGTAATGCATCCATCTGCTCCACTACCACGGATGGGAATCGGGAGAAGAAGCGAATCAGCTGGGCATTGGACGGCGAAGCGAATAGGTCTACCTGAGGACGGCCGAAGCGATGGCAGATCTCCTTGAAGATCCTTGGGTGGAGGCACCATTCCGCGTGATCTACTGTTGACCTGCTCAATAGATCTGCCTAGGTGTTTGTTTGTTTGTTTGTTTATTTATTTATTTAATTTTATTTATATGCCGCCCAATCCCAAGGGACTCAGGGCGGCGTATAAAATTAAAATAATAATCTAACAATAAAACAATACAATCATACAGCGTGTCCGATCATATCCCGCCCCCCCCGGGGACATCAGCCCCAGGCCTGCCGGACCAGGAGAGTTTTAACGGCTTTCTTAAAGGCCGGCAGGGTGGGAGGAATTCGAACCTCGGGGGGAAATTGATTCCACCAGGTCGGAGCCACCACAGAAAAGGCCCTTCCCCGAGGGCTCACCAGCCGACATTGTCTGGCCGAAGGGACCTGAAGGAGGCCCAATCTATGGGACATCACCGGTCTCTGGGAACTGTGCGGCAGTATGCGGTCCTGTAAGTAACCTGGCCCTATGCCATAAAGGGCTTTAAAGGTGATAACCAACACCTTGAATTGCGTCCGGAGACCCACAGGAAGCCAGTGCAGCTCGCGGAGGAAAGGTGACACGTGGGCGTACCTTGGCGGGCCCACAATCGCTCTCGCGGCTGCATTCTGAACCAACTGCAGCCTCCGAACGGTCTTCAAGGGTAGCCCCATGTAGAGCGCATTACAGTAATCCAGTCTTGAGGTGACAAGGGCATGAGTGACCGTGAGTAAAGCCTCCCGGTCTAAATAAGGCCGCAACTGGTGTACCAGGCGAAC